CAACCACCATCTCTTACACACAGCCACATATGGTCACAGTCACTCACAACACCATCTCACACATAGTCACCTACAGCCTTGCACACAGTTGTAGCCACTCACAACTCATGGTATACAAAGGGACAGCTATGCCTATCCACTGTCACCATCTCACACAATCATGGCTGTTTACAACCACACTCTCAGACATACACAGCCACATTTACTCACAAACACCTTTGTTCACACTCTTGCATATACCCAGCCCAGTCATAACCATGGTTCCCCAGCAAGCATGGCCTCTAATAACACACACACTAGTCACCCACAACCATAGCCTGAAACACATGGACCTGTGGCCACTCACAGTCAGTCACACACACAACCATGACCACACCTGCCATCACATAGTCTCACCCACACAACCACAGCCACACACACCATCACTCACACACAATCACACATGCACATGTGTCTCCCCACCCTTCCTTACCATAGTCCACTCCCGGCTCACAGGCCTTGTCCAGCCGGTCATCTGGGGTGACCTGGTCATCTGATTGGTGCATGAAGCAGCTCTCTGCGGGGTGGGTGGGCAGGGGACATGACCTAAGCTCCACTTCTCACCCAGGGCCTGCCACCCATGGGTGTGGTCAGCCCTAGACCCATCCCTCTTGGTGTCCCCTAGGTGTGGGCTTTTGGGGCCCCTTGCATCACCACCAAGGAAGGGGAGACTGTTGGGGGCGGGGTATCAAGTGGGCGTGGCTTTCCACTTCCTGGCTCCTGTGTACCCACCCTCAGCACAGCGGCATATTTCATTGTGGCAGATTTTGCTCAGCAATCCATCTTCCTTCTCCGGGTGGTAGAACCGGGTACAAGACTCATCTGTGGGCAGAGGGGTGGGAGGTGTCAGAGAGCTAAGGCCTCCACCCAAGACCATGCCTGTGGGGCTCAGGTTCCCAACTCCAGTCCCTCAGACCTGCGGATGCTAGTTCCTGAACCCTGGTACTCCCAGGTCCTCAATCACCAAGCCCTGGGACCCCCATCTTATAGAACCTTGGGACCCTCAGACCCCAGGCCCGAGGTTGGCTGCTCACCCAGGTTGTAATAAGAGTACACCTTGACTGCTCCTGGCTGGATGAGCCCCACATTAAAGTACTGGTGAACTTTGAAGGATATACAGTCCTCTTGATCGTGTGAGATCTGGGAAGAGGAGGAGGTGAGTCAGTGGGAGGGAGTCCAGCATGAGGAGAAATAGGGGACCAAGGAGGAGTGATCTGTGTGGAGAGCATGGCGGTGGGGAGGGGAGGGGAGAAGTGGCAAAGATTAATGAGCAAGTCAACAAATCTATTTTCTTTTTCTCCAAGGCTCATGGCAAGATTACACTTCTCAGCCTCCCTTTCCATTTGGTGTGACCATGAAATTGAATTCTGGCCAACGGATTGCTATCTGTGCCCCTAAAAACATCCCATGGTTATCAATACTGCACTGCATATTTGAAAGCTGCTAATATAGTAAATCTTAAAAGTTCTCACCACACACACACACACACACACACACACACACACGTTAAAACTATGAGGTGGTACATGTGCTAACTAACCTTACTGTGGTCATCATTTTCCAATATACATATATCCAATCATTGCATTGTATACCATAAACTTACACAGTGTTATATGCCAATTATATCTCAATAAGGCTGGGAAAATAAATGAGAAAGAAAAAAAAAGGAAGGAAGACAGACAGATATGTATGTATATGTGATAGACATGTATATTTGGAGGAAATTGCTAATATTTAATGAATCTGGGTAAAGGGTGTATGGAACTTTTTATACTGCTTTATAATTGCTCTGTAGGGTTAGGATTCCATAAAAAATTAAAAGTACAAAAATGAAAATGAAAAACAAAACTTAAAAACCCATCTCATGCACTATCAATCCTCTTTTCTTCTAGAAGGAATGGATCAAGAGAGGACTCTAAGACAAAGACCAATAGAGAAGGAAAAGGCCAGCCACGTATGAGTCAAGGTCCCAGTGGAAGCCGTCATCCAGGTAGATGATGAGGGTGTTCTTGTTGGAGAAGGCCTTGTTGTCCAACTCAAACTTTGATATGTAACTGTCAGTGTCACTGGCCAGCTGGAGAAGGGAAGAGCTTGTGAAAATCCTTTCCTTCCCTCAGCCTCTGCCAGGCCCCAGGCTCCTTCCCACCAATCCTAGCCCCTGAGCCCAGGATTTTCACACCTGCTTGAGGTCAGCAGTGTCAGGAGCAAAGCCAGTCATCATGGATATATCCAGGATGGACATAGTGGCATCGTGGTCTCCCAGGTACCTGGATGGGGCAGGGAGAGAGGGTTAGCCCTAGGGGTCAGTGCCTGGACAAGGGGGTCTGATCAGTGAGTGAGGCTTCTGGTTCCCACACAGCAGCATAGAGGATGTCAGATCTTAGGAAACACTCCCCAAGGGGAATAAAGGAAAGGTGTGTAATGGTTAAGGCGACTAACTGCTCAGCCTCTGAAGCCCAACTACATGGGTTCACATCCCAACTCTATGTGACATTTGATGAGTCACTTCACCTCTTCGAGCCTCAGTTCTTCTACAAAATGAAGACAAAAGTACAGGCAGGTCTCACTTTGCAAGATTCCATTATCACGGTCTAGTTCAATAACACCAGCCCCTCAGCAACACGGTTTAAATCCAGTACCACAATATATTAATGAGCAAACGCCTAATGGACAAATCTAGTTGCCAGCTCTTCAGTCCACCCATCACTATGTAAACAAATGAGCATTACAATCAATGACCAATCACGTCACTTATTTCAAAGTCTGTCAGTGATGGGTCACCGAGCACCCGTCATTCAAGCCACGTGTGTGGTTCTGTTACTTCCTTCTCTCTCAGTAAAAAAAACACCATGTGAGATTTTACCAAAATGGATCATTGAAAGGGAATCGCCAGCAAAGATGAAAGTGCAGCACAGAAATGAGAGTGGTAACACTGGGAGTGAAATTTCAGCAGCACCTAAATGGAGCCAGAGAAGAAACATCAGATGGTGTGACTATGGACCTGCTGCCCTTGGAGAGACCATCATGGGGCCAGAGACACTTAGTGAAGGCAGGGCATCAACATAAATGAAGAAAGTGGTTGTGGCCAAAAATGATGTCCCAGAGGAGGTGACACTGGCAAAACACATCATGGTGAAGGAACTCTTAAATACCTCATGACATCGAAAGTTCAGAGGATTACATGTGGGAAGTTGACCTAAACTTAGAAGGAACATGACACATCACAGCGTCATAAAACAGATGCTGGCTCCATATCATAAGTGCTACAGAGAAGAAAGGAGGCACTGTTCAAACCACAAGGCTTTGGATAAGTGCTTTAGAAAAAATCAAAACCAACTTCAATCTCAATGTTCTGATGTGTTACTTTTTAATTGATTTCAGAGAGGAAAGGAGAGATATAGAATGATAGAAATATCAATGATGAGAGAGAATAATTGATTGGTTGCCTCCTGCATGCCTCCTACTGGGGGGATTGAGCCTGCAATCCAGGCATGTGCCCTTGGTCCGAATCGAAGTTGGGACCGGGAGTGGTACTGATGGTGCAGGGCAGTGATGGCGAACCTATGACACACGTGTCAGAGGTGACAGGCGAACTCATTTTTTTGGTTGATTTTTCTTTGTTAAATGGCATTTAAATATATAAAATAAATATCAAAAATATAAATCTTTGTTTTACTATGGTTGCAAATATCAAAAAATTTATGTATATGACACAGCACCAGAGTTAAGTTAGGGTTTTTCAAAATGCTGATACGCCGAGCTCAAAAGGTTCACCATCACTGCCTTAGGCCAAAGCTCTATCCACTGAGCCAAACTGGCTAGGGCACAATATTCTGACATTTTAAATTACAATGCACTAAAAAAAAAACTCGTCTTAACTATACTTTTCACTACTCTATACTTTTATAACTGGAAATATGAGAGTTTTCAATGTTGTGATAAAAATAAATAATGTAAGCCCAGCCAGTGTGGCTCAACCAAGTCACAGTTCGATTCCTGGTCAGGGCACATGCCCTGGTTGAGGGCTCCATCCCTAGTAGGAGGTGTACAGGAGGCAACCAATCAATGATTCTAATCATTGATGTTTCTATCTCTCTCCCCCTCTCCCTTCCTCTCTGAAATCAATAAAAAAAATTAAAAATAAAATAATGGAAAATTCCTGTAACAGTTGTAATCCTCTTTGTTGATTATCAACATCACTTTTCAGTCTCAGCTTATGAGGTCACGGCTAGTCTCACACCACCATGCAATGCTGTCTAACTTCTGGAGTATGCTCAGCACAGTACTAAGCACACAAAACATTCTCAGAGAATAGTAGGTACCTCGGATATTATTTACAGGAAGTCTTGCTAGAGACAGAGGGATGAGCGAGATGAACCCCAGTGACCCATGTCTTACCTGGTACAGATGTTGAGTAACATGGTGCTCTTGGCGTCCTGAGGCTTCTTCACTAGAAACATAGAAGACAGAAGGATGGAGGGCTGGGTCCTGATTCAGGAGCAGGGCAGACACTAGAATGGCAGTGGGGGAAGGGTGACAGATAGGGTCTTTATTCCTTCTACCTTCAGGGGCTGGTCGCAGGTTAACCTTGAGACTGAACTTATTGCAAGAGGTTCTGCCTTTGATCTTGGCCTGGTACATTGTCACCACCTGGAGAGATGGGAGGGGAGATGAGGTGTCAGCAAACTTGACTTGGGAAGGAGATGGTCCCTCTGGGCCAGAGGGGCTGAGAGAAGGTGGTGAGCAAAGCAGGTGTGGGCTCCAGTCCTTACCGACAAGGTGCCTTGTCCTTTCCCTTTAGCTGTTAATGTGAAGTCCTCATTTTCCTTGGTCTGCAGGGAGTGGGGAGAGAAGAGAAGGTGTCGGGAGCCAAGCCTTCCCCTGGCTGCAATGGTCACCTGCCCTCCCTCCTGCCTCCTGCAGACTCTGACTGGCTGGAGGATGAGAGCGAGGAGGGTTTGGCCAAGCAGCTGTACCGTTTCTGATCGCAAGAGGCTAGCGGATTCCCAGAAGATGCGGTGCGTGACTGCAGAGCCGCGGCTGGGCAAGTCAATGGACACATCCAGATTCAGATCCTCATGGTCAGGGACATCCCTCTGGTATTGGGCCAAGGCTTGGAACACCATGAAAGTGGCCTAGAACCCATGAGAGAAGAAGAGGGTGATGTGAGAGACTGAGAAAGCGTCAGAACCTGCTGGGGGATGAAAAGTTTCAGCTTAGAGCTGGGCCACTGAGACTGTGGCCTAAAATGCACCAGAGGGGGTGAGAATAAGAATGGGGGTTGTTACATACTGAGGACATGTTCTAGAACTCTCTCAGTGAGAGAGGCTCAGTCTAGTGCTTGGTGACACTAAGATTGTGACCTAGAAGGGACCAGAGGGCACAAGGGTAAGACTGGGGTTCATTAGACACTGAGGACATCTCCTAGAATT